AAAAAGCCCAAGGGCTACAAGGTCTTGCAGCACCAGCCCAATGCCTTCCCTGCCTTCCTTGTATGCACTCTCCCCTCACTCACTCTGCCTCAGGCACACTGGCCTCCAGCTTATCAGGCATCAAGCTGCTTCACGCATAATATTTCATTCTTAACAAAATAGGAGAATAAAAAGGGAAGAACTCGCTCTGCATTTCTCCAACTTAAAGAACGGAAAAACAAATTAAAGCCTCAAGTTGCAATACTTTGAGATGGAAAGGGCAAAATCTTGAACAATCCAGGAAGCATAAAAAAAAAAGATGGAGGGAATACACCGAGTCACGGTACCAAAAAAAATTGGCTGACACTGAAATACGTCAAAAAGTACCATATGATCAAGAGCAAGTGGTAATAAAGGAAGAAGCAGAATCTGTGCTGAAAGCTTTGGCAAAAAAATAAGGCCGCAGGAATCAATGGGATACCGATCGACTTGTTTCAACCTGGACATACGCACCAGTCTATGACAAGAAATTTGGAGGACAGCTTCCTGGTCAACTGACTGGGAGATACATATTTGTTCCTATTCCTAAGACAAGTGATTTAACAGAAATTATCCAACACTATTTCTTTCTTTTTTTTTTTAATACATGAGTTTATTTATTTGCCACACATAGAAGATTCTATTTCTGACTGGATTCGGCTTTGGAGATAGACACTCTCAGAGAGGACAGCCTCCGTCTCTTGGCGATCTGCGCAGGCATTTTTCTTTGGTTCCTTCGTTCTCTTGGCCAAAAGCTGAGCGGCCTCTGTGGCCTCCTTCTTATTCTTTCTAGTGCGCTGTTGCTTCAGCAAAATGCACCAGCGCTTGTGCTGCAGAACACGTGGAGTAACAAGACGCTGAATTTAGGGTGCTTTGGTCCTGGGTTTCTTGTCTTCTTTGTTCAGTGGCTTTCTTGCAACATATTGACAGACATCATCTTCCTTGGAGAGACTGAAGAGTTTGTGAATTCCACTGGCTCTCTTGGGCCCCAGGAGATGAGGTGCAGTGGTGTCAGTCAGTCCTCGGATATCCTTCTCCCCTTTCTTAACAATAACCAAGTTGAGAACATCCAGATTGGCATCTACAATGCAACTCTATTTGTGCGTCCTCTGTCCAGTCCTCCGTGTCTGTGACAGGAGTGCCCCTTACTCAGCAGGAGGCGAGCTCAGCCATGGGTCAGAACACCCTGCTTCATGGGAAAACCCTGCTTGTCATTTCCACCGCTCATCCGGACAACATATCCCTTCCACTCGTCACCGAGAGAGTTGGTGGTAACTTCTGTTGCCATTCGCTTCTCATAAAATGTACAAAGTTTGCGTTCATCATCCACTTCAATGAGATTTTGGCAGCCAGTGGCTGGGAAAGAGATGTTCAGCTTCATGGTGAAGCAGCCAACGGCCCCAGCAGTGCCACAGAAAAGACAGCTCAACTGTATAGCATTTCTTAAGCTGAAGAAACTGAAGAACAAATTCAAGCCACAAGTTGCAATATTTAAGGATGCTTTGGGCAGAATATTAAATGGTCCAAGAAGCTTTAAAAGAAGATGGAAGGAGTATACAGAGTCAATGTACCAAAAGGAATTGGCTAACACAGAAGAACTTCATGAAACAACATATGAGCAAGGACGTGTGGTGATGAAGGAAGAAGTTCAAGCTGCTTTTAAAAAACTGGCAAACAACAAGGCTCCAGGAATTGACAGCATACCAAGTGACACATTTCAACAAAAAGATGCTGCCTTGGACATATTCAGTAAGTTATATCAAAAAATCTGGAGGACAACCTGGCCAACTGGCTGGAAGAGATCCATATTTGTTTTCATTCCAAAGAAAGGTGACCTGACAGAGTGAGGAAATCATTGAACAATATCATTAATATCACACACAAGCAAGATTCTGCTGAAAATTATCCAAAAATGACAGGAACATCAAATCAACAGAGAACTGCCAGAAGTGCAAACTGGATTTAGAAGAGTCTGTGATACTAGGGATAATATAGCTAATGTTAAATGGATCTTGACTGAAAGCAGGGAGTACCAGAGGAATGTTTATCTGTGTTTCATTAACCATACAAAGGCATTTGACTATGTGGATCGCAACAAACTGTGGCTGACTCTGAGAAAAATGGGAATCCCAGAACATTTGATGGTACTTACATAAACCAGGAGGGAGTCATCAAAACTGAGCAAGGAGACATTGCCTGGTTCAAGACTGGGAAGGGTGGACAGCAGGGATGCATTCTGTCTCAATACCTTTTCAATCTATATGCAGATCTTCTGGGAGGCTGGGCTGTATGAGGAGGAATGTGGCATCAAGAATGGAGGAAGATTCATCAACAACCTGTGTTATGCAGATGACACAACCCTGCTTGCTGAAACTGAGGATGCTTGCTGCAGAAGGTCAGGGGCTGCCTCCTTCAAAATGAATTGAAGCTCAGCATCAAGAAAACAAAGATTCTGACCATTGGGCTAATTGGCAGCATTACGTTAGATGATGAAGAGATTGAGACTATTCACAGCTTTAGTTTGCTTTGTTCCACAATCAACGCTCTTGGTACTAGCAGTCAGGAAATTAAGAGACAAATTGCATTAGGCAAGTTGGCTATCAGAAACCTCTCCAGAGTACTGAAGAACAACAATGTCATTCTGGAGACTAAGATGCACCTGATCCAGG